CGAATTTTCCATGTTATAGTCATCCTTAGAATCCTATAATGAGCTCTCTAACACAAAAATGTTCTCGCTTTTGCAGCGTGTATTGACAGCCCGCATTGCAAGCTGCGTAGCAACAATATTATTGTGTCAAATATTTGTCCCCTAAAAAGGATCGATCCTTTAACAAAGGTTCCGCTTCGCGATGCAATTACCTCACAGTTTATTTTTGACCACGAGTTCTAGAACGTCCTTGCGGGTCACAGTCGACCCTTCGAACGTATTATAAAGGAGTAACAAAACATCCAATTAACGCCCCTAATTACAACACTGGCGTCCTAAACCAGTCCCAGTACTAGTAAGCCCCCTGGTACCAGCACGATTCGCGAAAAGATATCACTCAGAAAAACAAAACAAAACCAAAAAAAAAAACACTAACGATACTCCAAGCTTGCCTGAACTTTGCACAGTCTCCGCGTAGAAAGGCTGAACTGTAGCCAGCAGTGTTATTTATAGGGACAATTAAACATGGACCCGTGATCATAGATCTTGCCGTCTCATGTGATTATTACTAAAAGTGCTGATTGTGGACATTGACCGAAAGCGGAAATTGAAACTAGTTTATTAGGGGAAAATTTAGGGACTTTTTCCCGCAGAGATTTCCCTATTTTTATTTTCCGCGATCTGTGAAACAAAGCACGAATTTGACTTTGCGTCACTTTGACGAGTGGCGCTCGAAAAATTCCTTTGCGTAAAACTTTCAGAAGTCCGTTTCATCGTATCGTAACCTTATCGTGTGATCCACTGCTGTTACTTCGCTTTTCTTTTTGTTCAAACACTCGAAAATTTCCTGCAACAATTTACTTGAGGGCAGGCATGTTTTTGGAAAACTTGTTCGGAACACCTGTTGGTGTATTTTACTGCTGTTAACGAGACAAAAGGTCGGAAATGTATAGTCTCAGGAGATTTCAAATCAGTGCTCGCTAAACAGAACAATCTCTTATCCTCGAGCAGATTTGTCCATTAAAAATCTATTGTTCATTGTTGATTTATCAGAAAATGCGTGAAATTATAAGGCACGTGTTGCTAAATTGCCAGCAGGCGCAAAATAAAAGTAAGTAATTTCTGCTTGAAAAGCCTCGTCCAGGGAAAGCTTCAAAATATTGTGCGCTCTGGAAATTGGAGGATTGAAATTGACACATTCTTCTTTAAGTAATCCTTTGCAAATACTGGCTGCAAACAATTAAATAGATTAAATTTAAAACCCTCGACAGCTTCCGATCCGGAGGCTTTTAAAATGCCTGTGCCAGCCCTGCTAAAAGCTGCTGAACTATCCACGCAAGAAATTCATATCGAAGTTCATATCGTCAAATAGACATCACTTCATATTTCGCAAAAGTTATATTCGTCCTAAGAGAAGCAGAACTGTGTTTATTAAAATGATGCAAGCTGCAGAAAAGTGTAACGTAAAAATCGTTTGAACGAAATAACGAAATAATTTCCAACTTGTTTTGCAAGTCAATCAATACGGCTTGCGCAGCGAACAAAGGAACCCACCTGCTTACATGTTGTCCTAGATGCCTTTCTTTGTACTGGCATTCGCTTCAAAATTCCCTTAACTTGTACCAAAGCCTTCATTCCCGTCAGAAACCATCGCTCAAATTCAGTGCTCTGAAGAAAATGGTCATGAATTTTACATGCGACCAGGATCTCTTATTTTTCGTCCCATAAACTTTTTGTAAACGAACACCGGTCGGAGAGCAGGTTTTGCCTGGTCTTATTGGAGAGCGAAGAGCTACCGCTATGGACTAATGTCTACAAAGGCAGTTTTATTCGGAAGAATTTCACTTATTTCCAATTCCGCCATCCCATAACTCCATCTTTCACTATTGTGCACAAATAATATCTCAGGAATCCTAAACCCACAGTTAAGAGGCGTTTTTCAACAACAATTGTGTAACTTTACCTTGAAAACTGGGCTGAGACTACACGTTTGACAAGAAAAATGACGCAGTGACTTCAGTTTTAAATTTAAAAAAAAATAGATTTGGAATAATTTTAGCCACTCATTAAAATTCTTTCATGAACGAATGCACATACTTTTTTTTGCAGCGCTAAAGCATCCAATTTCCAAAATGAAGAAAAAAAAATTAAGGAAAATCCTTCATATTTAAAAATGAAAGTCGCGAGTAATTACCCAGGACCCTGCGCTGATAGCTTAGTTTTGCTCACATTAAATCGTTCCTGATTCACAGCAATCAAGGATTTTTCTTTGCGTACGGAAGCTTCAAGAGGCCACGATTGAGCAAATAAAAATTGTGATCTGTGCAGATTATATTAATGATTCGAAGTTCAAGTTGAATAATCTGTTGAAAAAATTCCTGGCTGGCTGTTTGCTCATAAGGGAATGATGTTTTTCGTCCAGCAAAACAGGCTGTCTGGAGCTTGCACGTTACTCCAGCCTCAGCAACTTACGGAAACTATAAACGCTCTGCGTTTCCTTTAATTATTGAGAAGCATTACAAAGACAAGTTTGCGTCAAAAAATAAGTCGAAAAACTGACAATGTAAGCTGTTCTCCAATCATTGAACGAATACCAAAGATATCTAGTTAGGTAATGCGTGCAATCAGCTGGTTCTAAGTGACCGTATTTGTGCCGGGAGAGGAACAGCTTCCTACCGATTAATCAATCTATCCAGTTTCAGGGTACCTGTGTTTCTGATACACGTGGATAAAATCACCCAGTTCGCCCTAATGGACCACTGGAGGGACTCACCAAAAATAAAGTGAAATAACACTTAATTTTAAAATCCGGGCAATGCAAAGACTGACTCGATCAGTGAAGTCTACTGAAGGCGTAATAATATTTGCACTGTCCCTTAGCTAGTCCTATAAAATCTATGATTGCAACTTGGTATGTCATTCTTCAGGTGTTGGTATCTACAAAATAACCAGCTACATTAATGTCTCTGAGACTCACTCTTGAGATATCCTTGAACATATCACAATTTCTTCCTTGAAGCTATAATTTATGCAGATTGCGATGTTGTGTTCCGCTATTCCCCGGAAAATTGCGCAATGCGAGAGAGTCTTTGCTACAACGCAGATTGTTTCGAAGATATTCTTTACGGTCTTGATTCTAGATTCTGAAGTGAAAGGGATTTCCTAAATGGATGTCAGTTATCTAAGATACTCCTGAAATTATTATTATTAATTTTTTTCATGACTTGCGATGGTCAATCTTTTCTTTGTGCGATTTCGTGTGAGCTAGCGCTTCAGTGGTTTGACCCGGTGCAAGCAGGAGTTGCTAAAAAAAACACAATGGACCAAGACAACGGGAATAATAAAGTTATCTTATCCAATTTTCGCTGAAAACACTTGGAGAGCATTTGAGATTTCGCAGCTTTTACTAAAGGCATAAAATATGTTCCAAAACTCACAAAAATCGAGGTCTATTTCATGATATGATTAAGAAAGTTAACATAGAGAAGCCATGAATAATTAACGATTCGCAAAGGACTTAAAAGAGGTTCCAGTTTAAGATAGAGCTGCTTGACAATAAGAAGGTTTCACAGCCTAATTGCGGAGAAATGACTTGAAAGCCGTTTAGAAAATAGATACGCTTCGTTTGCAGCTACAGAGAAATCTGAGTTGGTGTGGAAAGAGGTGACGAGTATAACAAAGTAGAGATTTGCAGTTGTGTAACAAAAGCTTACCTGTTTAGCTGCTCAAGTGACTCGAAGGGTATTCAGGAAAAATCTTAGAGAAATTTTCCTTCGATTTTTAAAATAAACGCAAGCTTCCAGACCCATCTTAAACAACTGTATCTGACCGCTTTGCAACCAATTCGAGCTGTCTACATGGGTGAATCAGTCAAAGGATTTAAGAGCAGCGCGATTTCGCAAAACCACCCTGTCTTCAGAGGTGAAAAAAAAAAATTTAAATACTAGGAACGAAAGCCCAATCAGTCTCACGTACCTTGGAAAGTTAAAAAAGCAAAATCTTTACCAACGCACTCCAATATTCAGTTCTCGGAAGCTTTGTTCAGCATCAGTTCCCCAGCAGATTGGCATGGGTTTCCTTATAGCATCAAAATTTGCTTTGTTTGGCGGGCGTCACAGCGACAAATTTAACATGGTCTGATCATTGATTCCACGATAGACACAGTGCATCGAAGCGTTCCGAATCGAACCGGTGTTACAGTACTTGTGCTGTGAACTTCAACCAGGTTTGCACGGGTGGATGCCGGAAGTGATCGCTCAGGCCACCAGCGTTCATTGTGTATTTACCTTTTCATATTATCTTTAAAATCCAATTTCCAAAAGTTATTTTGTGTTGTATCATTTAGTTGTTAAAACTGCAATGTTCGATTTATCGCAGACTTGAGCAGGGAATCTCTTCAGTCAGGTTATTGTTGATTAACCTCGCAAAACAAGTAAACCTGCGGAAAAATATAGTAATCATTTTTGGGATCAATAAATAAAACTGCTCTCCATGGGGGATCCACTTTCAAGGTGAGGGTTTTTAAGAATAAGTCGAGCTGCACCTACATCATAGGTTAGACCGAGGGAAAACCTAAAACTAGAAGCAAAATGCTAGAATCCGGCTATCCGAGAAAAGAATCTATAACGAGATACACAGAACCCAAATGTTCCATCACGTTTTAACATCACTACTTTACATTGGGTCCTGTTCGCGCCCAGGTAACTGAAAACAAGAGTAAACTTTCAGTAGTCGGTCTTAATGGAGTCAGTCGGATCTGAACCTGGGACTTCCGTCGGCGACGAAAACTGATCACTTTAAATGCAAAAGAGTGCCGTTTCGTACAGCTATCACGTCAAACAAGGAACCGATCAGGTTTATGGTCCAGTTGTTCTAGGGCAGGTAGCGCCAAACCGAAACTCAACGCTAGCCTCGAC